CATGAATATACATTTTCCACACACAAAGAGAAGGTTAATGCACAATAGTAGAGTAGTACATGCCAAAGTATATATTGTGCATGTACTGGTCTACTAATGAAGAATAAATGACACTTAACCTTTTTGAAGATGCAGCAAATGACTGATTGAGACCACTGTGTCCTGGAGTGCCTTTTCCTCCTGAGTACTGTAGGTCTGTTTGGCATTTTCTTCCAGATACAGGCCTTTTCACATATGTGTATGCCACTACGATTCTTAGAAATCTCTCAAACCACCTTTGCTGGCTTTAAATTCACTAATGAGCATAGTTCATGGCATTTTTCCCTGTTTCACTACTGGGTGTGAGTCGACTTGTGTGGTGTTGCATCATGGGGAGACAAGATTAAGGGACCCCAATGGAAATATGTAGAGGACAGTCTTCGATTGACATGGACTTTTTTGGGTTATCCTGGGTGGCAAATCCTCTGGGGTAATTGTTTCATTGGTATTCTCATAAGCCACACCAACAACGGTAGCTACAGCAGCGCAGCAGCAGTGAAGTGCAGACAGCAGCAGCTGCAGCAGTACCACCAATAGTAGCGATGGTTGATTGGGTTTATTATATACAACCTGGCCAGCTCGGCAGAAATGCACTTCCACTTTCAATACTTATCAATGATCTTTTTCTTCATCCTCTATTGTAATTCTCACCCTTATTGTGTAGGGTGGGCACTAGAAGCTTCTTGGGGCCCCTTGGTCACTTATTTTTCAGAAAAAAGCACCGAAAACACTGTTATATAATACGATATTATTACGATTGTATGCTTGGATGTTATAGTGGAGGCGGCTGGTAAACAATGCACGGCGGAAATGTGAGCGTGGTCAGGCCGCACAAAGGAAGCGTTCACGATCGAGAAAATCGGGTAGCGGGGTTTTTAAGCGTATGTGAGACAAAATTTTGCAATTAAAGTAAGCGGTCATGCGAAATAATCGCTATGATGGATGCAATCGTATGCGGAGGGTACCACTGTATATTTGACCGAAACAGTCAAAGGGTGAAGTACTAAATTTAAAAAGATTTTACAGTTGGGATGTTTGAATGTGCATAGATGTAGTACAAAAGGGGTTACTAGCCCTTGCACCCAGCATCTTAGTCTGCTTTCAAAGGAAGGATTCTTATTCCACTTTCCCAGAGAAAAGAAGAGAAATAAGAACAGGATACTATTCAGAAAGAAGAAAACTGTGATGTGTATACATATACATACATGCAATAAGATCACAGTAAACAGGTGATATCAGAATATGCAAAACAACCATTGTGAAAGGAAAGTGAAATTCCAAGTGCTTTCCTTTCACAATGGTTGTTTTGCATATACATGTATAATGTGACCTAAATGTAAGTAGAAGCAGCAAGGTGTGCCCGTTATCACATGCATTTGAGGCAAAAGACACCAGTAATCCTAACATTGTGTAAAATAATTAAAAGTTTTTCATTTGACAGGATGGTAGTACCTTCCTGGGTGACTGGCAGCCAGTTTTTATATTTTTTTATTATTATTATTATTTTTTTCAAGGGGAACGCAAACCCGGAGGATTATCGGCCCAGTTATAGGAATTTAAATATTGTATTTAGGGGCAGTTTTAAAAAATTAAAACTTATAAAAATTACTAAAAATTTTTTTTAATGAAAATTACTGAAAATGCAAAAAAAAAAATTTTTAAAATTCTATTTGAGCAAATAAATCATTGTTAATTTGAAAATTTTATTGATTGTATGCAAGAAAAATTTTAATTTTTTTTTTTATTTGTTACTGTTTTATTGTTTTCCATGGGGGCAAAAAGGGAATGTATGAGAGTTAGTGGTACAACACTGTTATATGGGTGTAAAGCTTGAGTTGTAAATGTTGAAGAGGAGGGGGCTGGGGGCGTGGAGAGTCGTGTCTAAGGACAATGTGGGGGCGTAAATATTATGCAGAAAATTTGTAGTATGCATTTAGGTGGGAGTTACAAAAAATTATTATTAGAAGGCTGAAGAGGGATTTTTGATGGGTAGGGTCATTTAGAGAGGATGGAGCAAAATGGAGGGGAGGATTAAAATCTGTAGTGGGTGCAAAGGGGAGGTGTGTATCCTAGAAAAGGTTGGAGGGGGGGGGGGTAGAGAGGTTTTGTGTGCAGGGGCTTGGAGAAAAGCGGTGGTGAGCTTTTTAGGTAGGAGTGAATGGAGAGGTGGTTTTTTGGGATTTCAAGCTGTTGGGGGTGTAGGGTGAGAATTTGTGAAAGGGGTTTTAGGGAAAGGGGTTGCCCGTTTGGTCTGGGGATGGGAAAGTCATACCCGCACTTTAAGTGGGGTTTGGGATATTGGCTGTGTGGAGTGAAATTTAACTCCCCTTTTCTGGGTGCCCCTGCAAAGACGTGTTGTGTGGATGATGGTGAAAGTGTTTCTTTTTTGGGTCACCCTGCCTCGATGGAAAATGACTGACATTTAAAAAAAAAAAAAGTTTATAATTTGTCATTTTCACAGGTCTCTGATTCTGTTGCAAGTTTTGTCTGGGTTGGGTTGTTGGCACTCTGTTCTTCAAGACAACTCCTATCAGCTAAAGATTACAATTCACTTCAGGTGAGTTTTCCTTTGATCTTACTCCAAATGCAGTAAAAGTTGTATGAGTACAAACAATGCATTTTTTTTTTTAACTGGGTGTCTCCTGCAAAGGCAGGGTGACTCGGAGAAAACATGTTCATCATCATTCACTTTATTGCTGTCTTACTAGAAATGTGCTTGCATCACTCAGATTTCCCTCAGATTGTAACATCACCACCCCTGTTAGTGTGAAGAAGGTAACTTTTATTAACCCCTTGACTGTCGCGGTCGTATATATACGTCATGGGAGATACCGTGTTTGACGTATCTATACGCATAAATTCTAGCGGCTTCATATCAAGCGGGAGAGGGCTGGTAGGCCTACATGAGTGAGAATGGATCTCAGTGGTGGGTGTGCACCCTGTGAAAAAAATCTGGGACTCAGCGGTGCATTGTGGGAACGCCATCTTGGTAGTCCATTTTCACCATGCCTCGCGGTAAGAAGTTCCTCACTCCTCGGCGGATTGGAGGTCTTTTGTTCCCAAGTGATAGCTCAAACAGTGATGAAAGTGTCAGTGAAAGTGAATTCCCTGGTTTTGAAGCGGGTGTGACCGGAAAAAGTGCCCAGGATAACATAATTAGTGATGAAAACCCAGATGACCCACAACCTTCCACCTCTGGTGCTGGGCCGGCTCGTTCATGTTCACCTGTACCAGGACGAAAGAGGAAACTATTTGCCCATGTACAAGACTCAGATGTGAGCAGTGCAAGTGATAGTGATAGTGATTTCAAGGTTATTGAAAGCAGTTCTAGTTGTGACAGTGAGGGTGAATATTCCCCAGTGAAGCGGCAGTATATACGACGTCGCATGCGGTCTGGTAGTGTGCCATATGCTCTTCCAAGAGGAAGGAGTACATCTCGGAGCACATCCCGTGGCCCTACACCACGTCCTGATAGTGAAGATGACGATATTGTTACGATGGGTATGAATGATGCAAGTGAGGCAGCAGGCGGTGGTGGTGATAGTGATGGTGGCATGAGTCAAGTGACACCAGCAGCGGGCCACGCTACTACCCACGCTGCTGACTCTGCACAACTACAACCAGCCTCACCCGACCCCACACTCCCACAACAACCACAACCACATTACAATATCCAGAACCCACCAGCTGACTGCATCTGGGATTGGCAGCAAGATGACTAAGTTTGTTCCCAATCCCCATGACTTTGATGGAAGACAAACTGGAATACGGCCATCATGTACACTTAGGAACAATCCCACTGAACTGGAATGCTTTCAGTTGTTCTTCAATGGACCCATGATGGACATTATTGTCAGGGAAAGCATACGTACTATGAGTACACCATGGCAAACACTATTCTGTCACCAAGATCACGCCTACACCAGTGGAAGGACACAACTGTGGCAGAGATGTATCTGTTCTTTGCCACAATAATGCTTATGCCACATGTGTATAAGCACAGTGTCAACACATACTGGGCGACAGACTGCCTGATTTCAACCCTTGCTTTCAGTGACATTATACCAGTGAATAGATTTGTGTTACTGTTACGTATGTTACACTTTTCAGACAAAACAAGGCCTGACAGAAGCGACAGGTTATATAAGATCAGACCTGTGTTTATGTACCTGAAACAAAAGTGCTGTATGTATTTTTATCCCTTCAGGAAGCTTGTTATTGATGAGTCTTTGATTTTGTTCAAAGGAAGACTCTCATTCAAGCAGTATATACCAAGCAAGAGGAAACGCTTTGGTATAAAGTTATTTGTTCTGTGTGATTGCAAAACTGGTCTGGTTTTGGATATAATTGTGTACACTGGCGGTAAAACATTGGAAGATACCAGAAAGTTACTGGGTATCTCTGGTGATGTGGTTAGAACAATGATGGAGCCATATCTTGGTAAGGGGCATATTTTATATACTGACAACTGGTACACAAGCCTTATACTCAGTGATTTCTTGCGAGTGAACATGACAGATGTGTGTGGCACAGTGCGTGGAAATCGTAAACATATGCCTAGGTTCAATGCTGGCAGTCATAGAGGTGAAGTGCAGGTGTTTGCTGCCAATGACATCATGGCATTTCGGTGGCATGACAAACGTGATGTCACACTGCTGACACCAGTTCGACATGAAATGGTAGACACTGGCAAGCAGAATAGAGAGACCAATGAACCCATTGTAAAACCTGCAGCTGTGATGGATTACAACCTCAGTATGCGCTTAGTGGACAAATGTGACATGCAGATTGGGTTTGCTGACTGTGTTCGCAAGAGTTATAAGCGGTACATAAAACTATTTTTCCATCTTCTTGACATTTCCATGCTGAATGCTTATAATATGTATAAGTTGAAGACCAAGAAGAAACCCAAATATGGTGAATTTTGTTTGTTAGTCATCAGACAAATAATATTCAAGTACCAAGGAACAACACCCGCAATAGACCAGCGCCCACGAAATTATCAACACATGTCCTCTCGTCTGAGGCCTGGTGATCACTACCCCATACCACTGCCTGCTACTACTGCCAAGAAAAATGCTCAGAAGAGGTGTTTTGTCTGTGGACATACCACAAAAACGCAGACACACTCGTTTTATGTGTGAGGAGTGTAAGACACCATTGTGCTTATACCCATGTTTCAAAGAATTCCACAAGCTGCAGCAGTTCTAGAAAAGTGTCCAGTGATTGAACATATGTATACATATTATAGAACAATCGTAATAAACATTTGTTTACATTGTTTGTTTGTGTAAACAAGTTTTAGCAACATTATAATGATACCAGTGTTTTTGCTATAATTGTGTTACATTCAACGAGTGTATATTTGAACATTGCACAATAATTTGGTCTCACAGGCCACAAAAGTTATGTGAAAAAATAAAATAGTGAAAAAAAACAAGAAACCATCGAATACAAGTAAACCAAAGTTTACCGGGTGAGCGGCAGTCACCGCTGTTGCCGTTCACAGATCAATTTCAGCAAATTTCAGGGCTCTATATCCGGTAAGTACAGATGGGAAAATTTTTTTTTTGGACTAAAACAATTAGAAAAATAATCTTAACATTTTCATAAGAAAAAATAATTTTTTTTTTTTCGAATATTTTGCGACACCAGGAGACACTTCAGGATTGGGCCTTTCGACAGTCAGAAGGTTAATAGCTTCAGGGAAACCTGGTAGCCAGACTAGAGTCCTGGGAAAAGGAAGGGTGGTGCATCACTACCCTTTCTTCCTCCAGGACTCTAGTCTGACTAACAGGTTTCCCTGAAATAGTTGTATGGCTTTGAAGCCTGGGTCAAGCCGTAGTTCCATGCCATTAGCCCAGCTCACTCAGATAAGCTGTGAGCGGTAAATTTGGGCCTAGATACAAGAGAATGAATCTGTCATAATTGTGCAACATATAAAACAAATCATGCAGCACGCAGTGCATAATGAGAGAAAAAACTGTGGCCCTTTTTTTTTTATTAACCCCTTCAGGGTCCAAGGCCAAAATCTGAAGTGGTGCCCCAGTGTCCAAGAATTTTCCAAAAAATAGTTTGTTATTTTTTCTTACAAAATGGTAGAGAATCTTTTTGTGAAGGTAATAAAACAAAAAGTACGAAATTTGATGGAAAATTGACGAAATTATGCTCTCGCTAATTTTGATGTGTCAGCGATATTTACGAATCGGCGATTTTGCCGACTTTGACTCCCATTTTAGGCCAATTACATCATTCCAGTCGACCAAATTCTTAGCTATTTCACTAGTATTACTTCTATTCTATCGATTGAGCACAAGAAATCGCCAAGTCAACTGTTGCAACTACAAAATAAAGTGATCGGAATTTGGTAATTTGGCCAATTTAACACAAAGTTCAAAATATTCCAATTTCAAAACAGCATCCAGAATAAACAACGTAGGCATTCCTGGCACTAAACTAACATTTCTTCGGTTCATTAGTTACGTTTTGAGGCTTTACAAATAAATCCCATTTTGATTTTTTATTCACATAATGAATTTTTATTCACACCAAAAAATAGAAGATTTACTGTTACGCAATATTGTAATAATTGTATAAATATCATCACCACATTTGTGAATGTATATTAGACCCACCAGCTGGCGTGTATTAGACGTGTGAGGTCGTTTGTTTACTCTTGAACATAGGCAAAAATTTAACGTTTCTGCTACTTTGAGCTCAGTTTCAAGCCATTTCCAGTGCTAAAACCAATCAAAATCATCTCTATTTCTGTAATATGTCTTCCATTCTATCAAATGAGACCAAGAAATTGCAAATACAACTATAAAAAACATACGAAAAAACACTGCAAAGTTGCTGTTTTAATCGGAAATCTTGGTATCAGTTTTTTTTCTCTCATTATACACAGCGTGCTGCAGGATTTGTTTTATGTGGTGCACACATACCACATAGATGTATTCTCTCATATCTAGGCCCAAGTGTACCACTCACAGTTTATCAGAGTGAGCTGAGCTCATGACGTAGATCTGCGGTTTGGACCCTGAACGTAAAGCCGTAGATCTACGGGACGGACCCTGAAAGGGTTAAAACAGTGACTTTGCAGTGTATTTCTGTATGGTTTTACAGTTGTATTTGTGGTTTCTTGGTCTCATTTGATAGAATGGAAGATGTATTACAGAAATAGAGAAGATTTTGATTGGTTCTAGTATAGAAATTAGCTTAAAATTAAGCTCAAATTAGCTGAAATGTTTCATTTTTGCTTATGTTCAAGAGCAAACAAATGACATGATGCATCCAACACATGTCAAGTGGTGGGTATAATGCGCTCATATTGTTTATCCAATTATTACAATATTGCATAACAGTAAGTCTTCTGTTTGGTGTGAATAAAAATTCTTTGTGAATAAAAAATCAAAATGGAATTCATCTGCAAAGCTTGGAAATGTAACTAATAAACAGAGGAAATGTTATTTTAGTGCCAGGAATGCCTGCATTGTTTATTCTGGACCCTGTTTTGAAATTGGAATATTTTGAACTTTGTGTGAAATTGGCCAAAATACCAATTTCTGGTCACTTAACTGGGTAGTTGAAATAGTTGATTGGGCAGTTTCTTGTGCCCAGTCAAGAAAATAGAAGTGGTACCAGTGAAATAGCTAAGAATTTGGTCAGCTAGATTAATGTACAGCAGACCGTCGTTTAACACGGTTTTGTTTGGCACGTTTTGGTTATATCGCTATTGAAGAATTGCGGCATATTTTTGTATAACACTTCGTAAAATTAACATGGTTCAGTTTGTGGGAGGTGAAAAAATTTTGAGTGTGTCACCTGCAGGATATATGTACCCTGCTTGGCTCTGGGTTAAGCCATTGAGTCATTGGGGAAGACCTACCACCATCCCCCACCACCCCTATCCCCCTCACCACCCTTGTTCCAGTGTTCGAATCATACGTGTGTAGTACGTACCATCCTGTGCTACTAGTTTATATCTTTTAACTGCCATATCTTAAATCTGCCAAGCAATTATGGCATGCAGTAAGCATACAAGTGTTGCTGAAAGTGGCAAGAAAAGGTTTAAGTCTAGGAGTTACGTGTGGTGGATATAGTGAGGGCCTATGGCCTTAATGAAGCGTCAGTTCGTACAATTAAAAAGAATGAGGCAAATATGCGAGCTTGTGTAATGAATAACCCAAGGTATCATCTCATGAAAAGAATGACACAGACCTCAACAAATAAATAAAACCAAAAACTTGTTGCTGGAATGAATCGAATGAAAGACAAAGAAAGGTGCATCATTTAATTTCATCTTAATTAGGAAAAAGACCTTAAAGTTGTTTAAAGCAGTGTGTGATAAGGAAGGAATGCCTGAAAAAGAGTGTGTATTTAGCACAGGCTGGTTCCACAACTTTAAATTGCATAATAAGTTACATAATAAGTTTTCTGGTGAAAGTGCTTCAGCTGATCATACAGCAGCAAGTATTTCCCTGCTGAATTGCAGGAAATTATTTCTGAGGGTGGCTATGAGCCACATTAAGTGTTTAATGATGACAAGACTAGTGTTTTTTGGAAGAAAATGCCAACACGAACTTAGCAAGAGAAAAGTGCACCAGGCTTCAAGACAGCAAAGGATCGCTTCACCTTGCTCCTTTGTGGTAATGCATCAGGTGATTTCAAGTGTAAGCCCATGGTTATTTACTGCTCTAAGAATCCTTGTGCTTTGAAAGGTGTAGATAAAAACACCATACAGTAATTTGGAGGTCAAACCAGTCAGCATGGATGACAGGAAATATTTATTGACTGGTTTAAGCATCACTTTATTCCTGAAGTCAAGTTTTACTGCACAGCAAGAGCCTTGCATTCAAGGCTCTCTTCTTTCTTGATAATTCCTGTACTCATCCACAAACTTTGCTGGATGTGACCCTACATGGAAAAGTTGTATTTTTACCTCCAAATACAACACCTCTAATACAACCACTGGATTGGGGAGTTAAGTCATTCAAGTGTAACTGCACAAAAATTATGAAAAAATTAGTTGCATCAGTGAACTCTGACTCCAACCTGGCAGTACCAAGTTTCTGGAATAAATTTAACATTGCAGATGCTATCAGCATTGCTAGTGCATGGAATGATGTGCCCCAGTCAACATTAAATGCAGGCTGGGGAAAGTTATGGCCCTCTGTAGATAATTCTTTCACTTGTTTTCCCTTACTTGAGAATCAGGTTCAGGAAATTGTTCAGCCGGCAAGGAGATTACCAGTTGATGGTTTTGAGGATATAAATGAAGATGTGAATGAGCTCTTAGAAGATGATGATGAAGACAGGAGTCCAGAGGAAATGTTGGCAGAGCTCAATGCACAGATGCAAGGGAGCCACATAACAGAAGATGAAGAAAAACCTGTACAAAAGTGGTTAATATTGCAGCAGTTACATGAGCAGTTCCATGTTGCTGCTAAACTAGCAGACTTTTTCACTGAAGAGGACCCTGACAAATCTAGAGGCAGTGCTTTGAAACTGGATCTAGACCAGCTGACGATGCCTTACCATCAGCTGTATAATGTACTGCATAGTAAAAGAGCCCAGAGATCCATTACAGAATTTATGCACACAAATACAACCAGCTACTTTAGTACCAGAACCTCTACCTACTGTCGACAATCTCTACTTCTGTCGACAACCAACAACCATGTACCTCAGCCCAGTAGGGCCATTCCATGCATATCCACTTTCTTTACAATCATCCACAAACACCATTACCCACAATTTAAGGTAAGCACAATTTTTTTTTATGCAGGGTTTGACAAGGTTAAGTTAAGGATTCCTAGCTTTAGTGACAAACTAAAAGCTGTTACCTAAGCTCATTTGAAAGCATTTTATTGTTATGAAACATGCAAGTAGGGAACAGGATGAAGTTGGAGCCATCTGTGAGCCAGCATTTTCATTTGTTCAACTGACTTTATCTCATTGACATCGTAATCTTGTATGAATGTGTTCCAGAATGTGTTCTATTGCATTTGTAGTCTTAAGCAGTAATATATCATGGCAATGAACTACAATTAAATATTCGCTTTTATTTTTGCAACTTCTGTTGGTCTAAAAAAATGTTGTTTGGCTTTATGGGGACTCCCAGGAACGTAACCCTATTTTTCCCCAAAGTTCTTCAGTTTGTCTAACACAGTTCTAGCTAACAGTGGTTTCAGGAACGTAACTGTTAAACGATGGTCTTCTGTAATTTACCTTAAATAGGAGTCAAAGTGGGCAAAATTGCCAATTCATAAGTATTACTGATGCAGTAAAATTCATGATAGTGCAATTTCATGAATTTTCCATCATATTTTGTACTTTGTTTTATTACCCTCAGAAAAAGATTCTCTTCCATTTCATAAGAAAAATAAAAATATATTTTTGAAAATTCTTCGATCCTGTGGACAAGGCGTAGAACTATGGCTTGGACCCTCAAAGGGTTAAAACCACTGTAACACTCGTACAAACTGCTAAATGCAATAGAAAGTATAAAATATGAAAGCAAACAGTGATAAAATCTCAGTGTGGCACCTAGGTGGTAAATCTTGTGGCTGAATGACAGAACACATTCTGGTCTTTATGTCAGCTATAAATTCGTCACTATGGGTTATTTATTTTACTGTTAAACAAGCTTTTTTTTGCACTCATCATTCTAACAATATTATATTTCTAGGTTCTTATATCTGGAGCTGCTGTACTCTTCACAGTGTGGACTTCTCTTGTGCAGCGCAATTTCAGCAGGACTGGGATAAATAAGAAAACTGAAATTAATAAGTATGTGGTTCGTATACTGTGAATTTTCACCTTCAGTTTCTAACACTAGTAATAAATAATTTTTTATACCTAGTTACATTTCATGTTAATTCTATTTACTTTTAATTTTAAAATTGTCATTTGAACCCTTAAACTGTCCAAATGTAGATCTACATTCACTTGCATAGCACTCCAAATATTTTGAAAAAAAAAAAATTCTTTAGAACACATTTTCCTACATGTTATAGGGTAAGTAAAGAAAATTTAGGGTCAGTATTTACTGAGATATAAGCCCGCGAAGTTTGCGCGGGATGCTCACCTGAAGGCAACTTCGAGTCCTGCCACTTGCAGAAGTGTAGCCGATATACCATTTTTTCTTGTTTTTATTTTAATTTATATAATTTTTATGTTCTGATAATAGTTCTTGTAATTTCATAGCCAATCTTTCTGGCACTAATATCAAGTACTGAAATAGTTCTCAGATCGTCACAATAGTTCTCAGATCGTCACAATAGTTCTCAGATCATCACAATAGTTCTCAGATCGTCACAATCAGACCGACAGGTGAACATTTTCACTTGCCTTGGTCATTTACTATTGTCTAGAAATATATACAAAGTATTTTTAGGTCTCAGCAATGTTTTAGACATGCTGGAGTATATATGAAACTTGAAGCATGGTGTTTATGACGAGTGTTGATAAACTGCTGACAGTGCAGTGACACTTTATGAATGTACACTGCTCCAGGGAACCCTGGCTTTATTCGTTTTCACTGTTACACACAAACATGTCTGTCTGTTTATCTGTCTGCCTGTTTGTGTCTTTGTCTGTTTCCCTCTGCTTGTCTCTATCTTAGGGAGCGGCTCGTGAACTTGTTGGTTTACGAGCTGCTCCCTGATTCCTGAGCAAGTGAAAATTGTTTATTACTTAAGTCATGCTTATTATGCCTTATATCTATTTATAGATGGGGTTGTAAGAGAAGTAAATGCGAGGGTCTTGGCAAGAGGCGTGGAGTTAAAAGATAAAGAATCACACACAAAGTGGGAGTTGTCACAGCTGCTCTTTGCTGATGACACTGTGCTCTTGGGAGATTCTGAAGAGAAGTTGCAGAGATTGGTGGATGAATTTGGTAGGGTGTGCAAAAGAAGAAAATTAAAGGTGAATACAGGAAAGAGTAAGGTTATGAGGATAACAAAAAGATTAGGTGATGAAAGATTGAATATCAGATTGGAGGGAGAGAGTATGGAGGAGGTGAACGTATTCAGATATTTGGGAGTGGACGTGTCAGCGGATGGGTCTATGAAAGATGAGGTGAATCATAGAATTGATGAGGGAAAAAGAGTGAGTGGTGCACTTAGGAGTCTGTGGAGACAAAGAACTTTGTCCTTGGAGGCAAAGAGGGGAATGTATGAGAGTATAGTTTTACCAACGCTCTTATATGGGTGTGAAGCGTGGGTGATGAATGTTGCAGCGAGGAGAAGGCTGGAGGCAGTGGAGATGTCATGTCTGAGGGCAATGTGTGGTGTGAATATAATGCAGAGAATTCGTAGTTTGGAAGTTAGGAGGAGGTGCGGGATTACCAAAACTGTTGTCCAGAGGGCTGAGGAAGGGTTGTTGAGGTGGTTCGGACATGTAGAGAGAATGGAGCGAAACAGAATGACTTCAAGAGTGTATCAGTCTGTAGTGGAAGGAAGGCGGGGTAGGGGTCGGCCTAGGAAGGGTTGGAGGGAGGGGGTAAAGGAGGTTTTGTGTGCGAGGGGCTTGGACTTCCAGCAGGCATGCGTGAGCGTGTTTGATAGGAGTGAATGGAGACAAATGGTTTTTAATACTTGACGTGCTGTTGGAGTGTGAGCAAAGTAACATTTATGAAGGGATTCAGGGAAACCGGCAGGCCGGACTTGAGTCCTGGAGATGGGAAGTACAGTGCCTGCACTCTGAAGGAGGGGTGTTAATGTTGCAGTTTAAAAACTGTAGTGTAAAGCACCCTTCTGGCAAGACAGTGATGGAGTGAATGATGGTGAAAGTTTTTCTTTTTCGGGCCACCCTGCCTTGGTGGGAATCGGCCGGTGTGATAATAAAAAAAAAAAAAAAAAATCTACAAGCACTGTATAGTGCTTTGCCTGGAACTTTTGGGTTATCCTAGGTAATTTGCACGATGTATAATTGTATGTGTACTTGTGAGAGACATATATAGACAGATACAGTAGGGCCCCGCTTTATGGCGTTCTGCTAATATGGTCATTTCAAATTATGACCAAAACTCTCTATACGGCTCCCCCCACCTGACTTTCTAATACGGTCACAGCACCCCACCCTGTTTGTTTACATTCTGTGTGAGATCCATAAGCACTAAGTCTCTCCAATATGTCTGCAAACTCCAAAATTTCAAGTGTTTTTAAAAGTTATTTCATATTTTATATATACTCTGATAATTATGCTTATGTATACCTGTACATAAATAAACTTACACACTGTGCTAGATGCAGGTACACATTAAAATAAGTAGGAGTGTCTGTCTCGAGACGTCATATTAGTAATGATAATAATCACCGAGTCTCATTAAATGTCGTATATTACGTTAATATACATATTTTCATTAATCCACCCTCGCAAGTGCGAGGGTCTTGGCAAGAGGCGTGGAGTTAAAAGATAAAGAATCACACATAAAGTGGGAGTTGTCACAGTTGCTCTTTGCTGATGACACTGTGCTCTTGGGAGATTATGAAGAGAAGTTGCAGAGATTGGTGGATGAATTTGGTAGGGTGTGCAAAAGAAGAAAATTAAAAGTGAATACAGGAAAGAGAGAGGTTATGAGGATAACAAAAAGATTAGGTGATGAAAGATTGGATATCAGATTGGAGGGAGAGAGTATGGAGGAGGTGAATGTATTCAGATATTTGGGAGTGGACGTGTCAGCGGATGGGTCTATGAAAGATGAGGTGAATCATAGAATTGATGAGGGGAAAAGGGTGAGTGGTGCACTTAGGAGTCTGTGGAGACAAAGAACTTTGTCCTTGGAGGCAAAGAGGGGAATGTATGAGAGTATAGTTTTACCAACGCTCTATATTGGGTGTGAAGCATGGGTGATGAATGTTGCAGCGAGGAGAAGGCTGGAGGCAGTGGAGATGTCATGTCTGAGAGCAATGTGTGGTGTGAATATAATGCAGAGAATTCGTAGTTTGGAAGTTAGGAGAAGGTGTGGGATTACCAAAACTGTTGTCCAGAGGGCTGAGGAAGGGTTGTTGAGGTGGTTCGGACATGTAGAGAGAATGGAGCGAAACAGAGTGACTTCAAGAGTGTATCAGTCTGTAGTGGAAGGAAGGCGGGGTAGGGGTCGACCTAGGAAAGGTTGGAGGGAGGGGGTAAAGGAGGTTTTGTGTGCGAGGGGCTTGGACTTCCAGCAGCATGCGTGAGCATGTTTGATAGGAGTGAATGGAGACAAATGGTTTTTAATACTTGACGTGCTGTTGGGGTTCAGGGAAACCGGCAGGCCGGACTTAGAGTCCTGGAGATGGGAAGTACAGTGCCTGCACTCTGAAGGAGGGGTGTTAATGTTGCAGTTTAAAAACTGTAGTGTAAAGCACTCTTCTGGCAAGACAGTGAAGGAGTGAATGATGGTGAAAGTTTTTCTTTTTCGGGCCACCCTGCCTTGGTGGGAATCGGCTAGTGTGATAATAATAATAATAATAATAAACACGATGCATAACATATGAAGATGCTAAATACAGTGGTCCCTCATAATCGTCCATAATCCGTTCCTGGAAGTGGGACTATTATCGAAATGAACGATTTTCTAATCAATTTTCCCCATAAGAAATAATGTAAATCCAATTAATTCGTTCCAGACACCAGAAGTATCAACAAAAATTTTTTTTTTTTTACCTAAAAGATAGATTTACATGCACAAAAGAATGAACATTCAACATGACAGTTACCTTTATTGAAGGCTGTTGTTGATGAATGGAAGACAGGGAAGAGGAGAGAGGGAAGAGAGGTTATTTGGAAGGGGAATCCCCCTCCATAAGGACTCTAGGGCACTAATAAAATGTTTAAATGAACATTGGTAATAAGGGTAGTTGATGAGTGGAACGATCTGCCTAGTAGGTTGATCGAAGCTAAAACATTGGGTAGTTTCAAATTTAGGCTGGATAAATACACGAGTGAGAGGGGTTGGATTTGAGTCGGACTTGCACCTGAGCTTATTGCTTGGGTAGCATTTGTTCTGAACATTAAAATGGTATAAAATACTGACAGGTTGTTAGGTAAGACACATATGCAACAGTTAGGTATCTTTATTTTGAAACGTTTCGCCTGCACAGTAGGCTTCTTCTGCTTCTATCAACTTTTCTGTACTCGACTGAAGAAGCCTACTGTGTAGGCGAAACGTTTCGAAATAAAGATACCTAACTGTTGCATATGTGTCTTACCTAACAACCTGTCAGTATTTTATACCATTTCAATGTTCAATCTGTCAGACACTGCAACACAAGGGTATCTTGGTACAGACCTGAAATCAACTTCGACAACCTCTACTAGTTAGAACGGCTGGATTTGAGAGGGACCTGACCTCCCAAAGTGACCTACGTCTCACCTTCTGGCGCTATATAAGGCTCCATCCTGTCACTTCAACTCCATATTGTTTCAGACTACGGAACAATGCTCTTCTCCAGACTGAGGGACTGACCACCTCAAAACTTTAAGGGTGATGGACTGATTACATCGTCTTCAAGTCTCTTCTGCTTCTATCAACTTTTCTGTACTCGACTGTAGAAGCCTACTGTGTAGGCGAAACGTTTCGAAATAAAGATACCTAACTGTTGCATATGTGTCTTACCTAACAGCATTTGTTCTATTAGTGGGTTGGATTTGTGAAGGACCGGCCTAATATGGGCCAACAGTCTTATTGCAGTATTCCTCCTTTCCAATGTTCTAAAAGCTATGGCTTGGGTAGTTTCAAATTTAGGTTGGATAAATACACGAGTGAAAGGGGTTGGATTTGAGTCGGACTTGCACCTGAGCTT